CATTTGCCTCTCAGACAAGAGACCAGCAAGGTTCCTCGTGAATTGAGAGTGTTTGGGTTGAGGACAGATGGGGCAGATTGGCCCCACGTCCCCATTATCTCCGCCCTTGTCCCTGAAGTGGGCTGGTTTGCTCTCAGAACAGCCAGTTTCCTGACCGGGGTGGGGAGCAGGGCTGACAGGTGCTGTTAACCTTTGAGATGTCTGAGGTGGGGGAAGGACAGGATGAGGCAACCCTTGGTGGCGCCTGAGTCCCGAGGAGGGAGGACCCTGGACCTACAGCAGGCGAGGCGTGGCGGTGTTTGCGTTCCAGGATCGCCAGGTTTAACTTCTCTGTCTCCCTTTGTGCCCTTTGCTTGCCCTCACCCACCTGTGTCAGGCAGCCACTTCTGCCCTGTCTCCCCTGGCTTCCCCATCTTCAGCCTTCTGGCCCTGCGGGACCACTGGGGAGGGGGCACACAGGCCTTTGCCCACGGTAGGATTTTGGCAGAGAGATGTCCTTGAAAAACATTTTTTTAAATGTTTACTTACTTTTGAAAGAGACAGAGCATGAGCGGAGGAGGGGCAGAGAGCAAGGGAGACCCAGAATCCAAAGCAGGCTCCGGGCTCTGAGCTATCAGCACAGAGCCCCACGCGGGGCTCGAACCCACGAACCGCGAGATCATGACCTGAGCTGAAGCCAGACGCTCAACCGACTGAGCCACCCAGGCGCCCCTAGAGAGATCTTCTTAAAAAAATTTTGTTTTTAATTTTTTAAAGTTTATTTTTAAAAAAGATTTTCCTTTTTATTTATTATTTTTATAAGTTTTATGTTTTTATTTTGAGAGAAAGAGCGTGAGCAGGGGAGTGGCAGAGAGAGAGAGAGAGGGAGAGAGAAAATCCCAAGCAGTTTCCGAACTATCAGTGCAGAGCCCAATGCGGGGCTCAAACTCATCAACCATGAGATGGTGACCTGAAACTGAAATCAAGAGTCGGGGCCCTTGGGGCACCTGCGGGGCTCAGTTGGTTAAGGATCCAATTTCAGCTCAGGTCATGATCTCACAGCTCGTGTGTTCGAGCCCCTCATCGGGCTCTGTGCAGATGGCTCAGAGCCTGGAGCCTGCTTCGGATTCTGTGTCTCCCTCTCTCTCTGCCCCTCCCCCGCCCATGCTCTCAAAAATAAACATAATTTTTTTTTTTTTTTTAATTTAAAATCCTGAGCTCTGGTCACCCTGTGCCATTGAGAACCTTGGGCGCGAGAGTCATTCATGAGCCTCCAGTCTTCTAGAAGGGTCAGGTCTGTTCATTCATGACCAGGGTAATTAAATAACTCTTTGTAAGAGGCAGGGAGCTCCTTGTTAAGTGGTCTTCCCTAATGCAAGTGCAAACACAAGCAAAATCCTTTCCCTTCTCAACACCCACCCACCCCCTTCCCTTTCAAGGGTAGATTTTATGCTTTAAGGGAAATGAGGAAGGGGAGGGGGGGAAACAACCTTAAAGGAATTTTAGGCGGATTCAGCATTTTTCTGGGGTTGCTCCAAAAATTCCCTAAACTGTAATAAAAAGAAAAAATTGTGAGCAGGCATCTGATTAGTTGGCTTTTACAACACAGCTTTTCTTTTTGGATGCTTTAAAAATGCACAAATACAGTTTTAAAACAAGCCCCTGTATAGTTTTCTGAGGAGGGAGAGAAGTTGCTGAAAATACCGGAAAAGGGTTGTAAAGCTGAGGGAAGTTAACAAGGGCCTGCGAGTCTTGCTTTTGGAGGTTAAGTATCAGCGACCGTGAGGAGAAGCCAAGTTGGGCTTCTGAGACTCTTCCTTAGTCCTTGGGAATGAGGGGGACTCCTCTATGTGAGAGCCTCCCAGACCCTCGCCATGAGGCCTGGGAAGCCCCTCTGGGGGCGAAACGTCTGCACAGACCTTTGTGGGGAGACGCTTGTGGGCTGTGGGCCCAATTCAGGGGAACGTGCTTCTCTGAAGAGGATGCTGAACGTTTCCCAGAAATGGGCCCACATGGTGCAGATCTTGGGGGCAGGTCTCTGACTTGGCAACATGGACTGTTGTCACGGGCCCCCAGAAGTATGATGTGTTACAAGGGGCCTTCGTGGGGGTGACGGTTTCTCTGGAGAGCGTGTTTTTGTGCCCAGAGATAGCCCAAGAGCAGTGAGGAGAAAAGGGGCATCAGGGTGCTGGGAGGCTGGGGGGTGACAGCCGGGCAGGCTGGAGGGTCAGGGCAGGGGAGGAGCCGGCGAGGGTCCTAGTGGGCTTTCAGGGGCCTTGTTCACACAAGGGACACCCATTCCCCTCTGTTTATCTGGGCTGGGCCATTAACCTCAACAGAAAAAGGCTTTTTCCAGGGATGTCTGGCAGCAAATTGCTGGGTGGACTGGCGGGCTGTACAGATGAAAGAGAAACCCTCCAGAACACTTCCCCCCTCCCCCTCTCCTCCCCCTACCCCCCACCCCCAGGGCTCTGGGCCAGTCCAGCCCAGTCCAGCCCGGCTTCCCCCGCCTCCGGAGGCTGCTGGGCAGACAGGGCCCCCCCACCCTTTACTGGTGGGCCTGGCATAGGCAACTTGATCCCAGGCCCCCACCCCACCCCACCCTGCACCTCCTCCCCCTGCCCCTCTTTTTTCCCTGCTAGCCGGTGCCAGGTTTCAGGGGGGGCCAAGATCCATGAAACAAAGTATGGGGAGGCTCCCGGAGGGTCTCCTGCACCTCCCTCCCAGTGACTCCCCCAGTCTTCTTCCCAGACCACATTTGTCGTCCTGAGTTGGGATATAATAATAAGCGAGAGCTTCCTACGTTTCAAAACTCCCTCCTCCCCAAAACAGTTCGCCCCGTACCTTCCAGAAGAGGGCTTTCTCCTTCCCAGCAAACTTGCACGCCAGAGTATTCTTATTTACATGGATATTATGGGTCTTTGGTGTAGCCTTCAGAGCTGAACTCCCTCAACAAGAAAGTTCAAAGATTGCCAGCACTCACGAATTTATTAGCAGTTGATGGATACTTTGCAGAAACAAGTTAATGCCTGATGAGTCACCTCTGCTTGGAGCCCTTGTCCCTCTCTTGTTTTTCCATATGTTCCAGCGTGTATGCACGCAAGCACACGCATGCTCACATAACACTCGCACATGTGTTCACACTCACGGACACCCAATGTCTCTCACATGCACTTGTGCTTTATAGATGCATGCGTTTTGGGGGGCAGGCCAGTTTTCTGGGGCTGATTTTCAGGGGGGTGGGGGTTGAAGGAGAGGAGTGAGCCCTCAGCTTCCCCATTTTGTGTGGCTGTCTGGGTAGGCATTTGGGAAGGTCGGTTGGGGTGTCTGGAGGAGACAACCACTCAGGATGTGTGTTCGTGGCTGCCTCCGTGGGTCATGGTGCGCATTTGCACGGACTGATTCACAGAACACCTCCATGCAAGACTGCTGCTTTAAAAAAAATAAATAAATAAAATAATGGAGCCGACTGGTTCCCAGGTCCTAACATGCCTGTAAAGGTTGGAAGCAGTTAGGTGTTGAGCTGCCTTGGGTTAGTTGTATATCCAGCCTGCTGGGGCAGCAGGACATGGGTCCCTGAGCCCTCCTCCACCCCTAGCTGCCATGCTATAGACTCCCATCAGCACTGGCCCTAGGTTGTTCCAAAATCAAAACGGCCCAAACAAACCAAAAATTGTCTCACAGCCAACCCCCGCCTTCAGGCCCCAAACCCCCAGTGAGTGAGCAGTAAGGGCTACAGGGAAGGCAGGAGGAGGTCTGTGCTGCCTGCCTTTCCCCATTTTTGTTAACAAATACAAGACTTCCGGTCTCCGCCCTGCCCCACAAACCACAGCGTTCCTGCAGCCCGGGCCCGGCTGGGGAGATTTATGGTTCCCAGTCTGAGGCCTGCTCCGCTGGCTCCAGCTTAAGGAGGAGTTGGAATGCCAGCCGCTGGGGCCCCCTTTCCCTCCCTGTGATCCCCCCTTTAAAGACCTCCTAGCGCCTGTTCAGGAAAGTCACCTTCCCACCACCCCCCCCCCCCCCCCCCCCCCCGGGTCTCCTGGCTGCCTGTGGGAAGAACCAAGTCTAAGAAAGTTGGGGTGGGGCCTCTGGGGGAGGGGGCAGGGGTAGTGGGGAAAAGGGGCTGGGGCAAGGTATCTGTATGCTTCTAGGGAGGGAGGGGAGAGAGGGGGTACAGGCAGAGAAGGGCACTTCAGGGAAGGTCAACCCATTTCAGACACATAATCTTCTGTCTGGGCTGAAGGCAGCTTCGTCAAGGTAGTCTGAGTTGACACCAGTCGGTGTGTTGTGATTTGACATTTTGACCAAATTCACCCTTTGCGTACAGAGCTGCTGCTGACACACACACTGAGAGATGGTTTTCTATTAGGAAGGTGTTTCGGCCCCAAAGCAACTCCATTTTCCATTTTTATCAGACGGCGCTCCTTTATGACTTGAGGCACTGACCTAAGCGCTGGGCAACACAGAGACCGCATAGCACATGACCCTGGAGTCTGGAGACCTGGGTTCTAGGTGTGGCTGTGTCGTCCGTGGGGCCCAAGCCAGCAAGCTTTCTTTCTGGGTCCTGGTTTTTCTCCTGAGGATGACCAGGGGCTAGAGCAGCTAGACTTCTGGGGTCTGTCCAGTTTAACGAACTGCAACTCTAGGCCATCTGGAAGCCCTTTTCTTGCCCTAAAACAGGACCAGTGAAGTTCCTCAGGGTTCCCTAGCTTCTGGGCTCGGCAGGGATGGGGCTTCCATTGGCCCCACGGGCCAACGTGATGGCGTCCTGGGTTGGGGGAGTGGAGGAAGGAGGTGCCCCAGAGAGCCCCGTGTTTAAAGGTGGGTTCTTGCACCACTGGGTCAAGATTTCTGAGCCACAGTAGGACTGCAGAGCCGGCAGCCTATCCAAGCACCAGCACCGCCTCTGTCTTAGGAGAGCTCGAGGGTGGTAACGAACTTGCGGGTGTGTGCCTCGATCCTTGAGGAGGAAAACGCCAATCCCCATCACCACCAACCGCGTCTGCCATTTTGTTTTGTAGATTCCCAACTTCTTCTGGAGCCTGGGGATCGGTCACACTGGTGCGTGGTGGCATACTGGGAGGAGAAGACGAGAGTGGGGAGGCTCTACTGTGTCCAGGAGCCCTCCCTGGACATCTTCTATGATCTACCTCAGGGGAATGGCTTTTGCCTCGGACAGCTCAATTCGGACAACAAGAGTCAGCTGGTGCAGAAAGTGCGGAGCAAAATCGGCTGTGGCATCCAGCTCACGCGGGAAGTGGATGGCGTGTGGGTGTACAACCGCAGCAGTTACCCCATCTTCATCAAGTCAGCCACACTGGACAACCCGGACTCCAGGACGCTGTTGGTGCACAAAGTGTTCCCCGGTTTCTCCATCAAGGCTTTTGACTACGAGAAAGCGTACAGCCTGCAGCGGCCCAACGACCATGAATTCATGCAGCAGCCGTGGACTGGCTTCACTGTGCAGATTAGCTTTGTGAAGGGCTGGGGCCAGTGCTACACCCGCCAGTTCATCAGCAGCTGCCCGTGCTGGCTGGAGGTCATTTTCAACAGCCGGTAGCCTCGTGGGGAGAGGACGGAGCGGGAGCCGAGCGGGCCCAGTCCAAACTACTTTGCTGCTAATACTTCCCTCCCGAGTGCTTGCTTTTCACGCAGACTCTTTCGTCGTCGTGTGTCCCCGGCCCCCGCCCCCCCGCCCCCCCACCGTTCTGGTCCTCGTTTCTGTTCTGTTTCGTTTTGTTCTTTGAGAAATAGCTTATGAAAAGAGTTGTTGGGGTTTTGGGGGGAGGGCGGGGTATGGCTGGCCGAGCACACCCCAGGATGAAAAGGGGAAGCAACAGTGAGCACCCAGCAAAACACAGTGGAAGAACGGGGAGCAGCCCCTGACTTTGGGGTCCTTGTTTTCCCTCGTCAGGGCGCATGTGTGAGTGAGTGTGCGTCCGTGTGCGCGCGTGTCTTACGGTGACTGCTGAGAGGCCTGCGCCCCCAAGCTGTGTGTCGCCTGCCCTTTGGACATATGCTCAGTGGGGCAGAGGCCGTACCTGGGCAAGCTGGCAGCTGGGGTTTGGACAGCTGCCAGAAGCCAGGCTCTGCCCCTCCTCCCCGCCCCCGGGGAAGCCTCCCTGCCCCACCTCTCCCCTCCTAGGACACGGGCCTGTCTGCAGGCTTCTTAGAAGCAACCCTGCAAAGAGGCTGAATCAGAAACCAGTTGTTTCCTGCTTGTCCTAACTCCCCCCCAGCCACCCTGCTGTCCTTGTCACGTCTTTCTTTTTTGGCCATCTGCTCCTGGATATCTCTTGAGACGGGCTTCCCGAGGGCTGCCGGGGGCCACCCTGGCACAGTATTGCCCACCCAGCATCCTCCCAAACCCCTCAGCCTCTGCCCTGCCCTGGTCATATCAGGTGCGCCCACCCCACCACCCCCCCACCCCCCCACCCCCCATCCCCACCTCCAACTCCGAAAACCAGCTCAGCACTTTCCTCCCGTCTGCCGCCTGGGTGTTGAGCTCTGCTGTTAGACCAGCGAGGGGAGCCGCCCTGGGAGGGAGACTTCTCAGCAGCCCCCCCCTTCCCACCAAGAAGGATTCGGTCCATCATAACCCAAGGTACCACCCTGGGCTGTCACCTAACTCTTTCATTTCTTCTACAAACTCATACACTCGTATGATACGTTGACACTGCTCTTAGCTCAATGAGCATGTTTAGACTTTAACATAAGCTATTTTTCTAACTACAAAGGTTTAAATGAACAAGAGAAGCATTCTCATTGGAAATTTAGCATTGTAGTGCTTTGAGAGAGAAAGGACTCCTGGAAAAAAAAAAACCTGAGATTTATTAAAGAAAAAAATGTATTTTATGTTATATATAAATATATTATTACTTGTAAATATAAAGACGTTTTATAAGCATCATTATTTATGTATTGTGCAATGTGTATAAACAAGAAAAATAAAGAAAAGATGCACTTTGCTTTAATATAAATGCAAATAACAAATGCCAAATTAAAAAAAGATAAACACGAGATTGGTGTTTTTTTCTATGGGTGTTATCACCTGGCTGAATGTTTTTCTAAAGGAGTTTATGTTCCATTAAACAATTTTTAAAATGTATACTTGATTCCATGTCCTCTAGCTCCTTTTTCTTCTGCTGGGAGGGGAGTAGGGAGGGGCATCCTTTGGAATCAGGACATGGGGTCTCTTCGGCCCAGTGCTTGATTGGGGATGGGGAGGTGAGTCACCAAAGGGACCTGCAGGACACCTGCTCTTCCAGCATCTGTTACAAGGACCCCTCTTCCTGTTGGTATGCAGTGACTTTAGGGTGTAGCTGGCCAGGCATCCTCAATTTGTCACCCTTGGGGAGCCCCGAGTTGCAAAGGTGGGTGGATTTCTGCTGTTTGATCTAAACCACGGTTTGGACTCAAAGGCCTCTTGAGAAATGCTAATACATGTTCGTTTATGCTCGAGCGTTACTGCCAAATGGTCATCTGGGCCAGCTTATTCACGTGAGCTGACGGGGAGCTCACTACCTCTCAAAGCAGCGTTTTGCTTTTTATCAGCTGAAGTGAAACCTGCCCCCATTCTAGTTCTGCAACCCAGAATAAGTGTAAAATCCCATGTCTGGAAAACACCCAAGGAGGGTTTTAATTAACTCCTGGGGTGGTAGTCTGGAGGAGGGGTGGGATTGGGAGGTGTTACATTAGGGAGCCGGCAAAGCCATTTTGGTTTGCTCTAACTTGCATCAACCCGCAGGAAGCACTTTAATAATAATAATAATAGCTGTCATTTATTGGATGCTTAACCAGGTGCCGTAACCAGGTGCCGGGCACGATGCTAAGCATTCAAGGGAATTAATCCTCACTGGGACCTTCTGCAAAAATGCAGGCTTTGAGAGGTTAAGAGACTTGCCCAAGGTCGCTTAGGGAGGAAGTGCTTAGATCAGGAGGATCTGGGCTTAGTCCTTGGTCCCTGCTGAGATGTTTACTTGATAGAATCCTGTATGGTGACAGCCCCGAAACTCACAATCAGAAGGTGGGCCACCACACTGTGGCCTGGCCCCGCTGTTTGGGCAGGACCTCGGCTTCGGGAGGCAGGAGCTGCTGTGGCAGCAGCACCTGTGTGCCCTCCTGTGTTACCTGGACTTGACTTTCAGCCCCAGGAGGCTGGAATTGGGGTGGGGGCATGTGGACTCCGGCAGCCTGGCCTTCTGTGGGCAGGCAGAGAAAGGGGTGCATAGGGGAAGCCAGGTTTTCCTGGTAGCCCACCTGCCTCCCCTGGCCAGAGTGGTCATCACCCACAGGCCTTCCAAGTGCCACTGGAGGACCACACGCCAACCCACAGGCGAGCCCAGCCCCGGGCTCCCAGAGGCGGGGCTCCCAGACCAGCTGGGGTTTGGATTAGTGGAGGGAAGTGAGGGTGTCCCTGCCTGGTTCTACTCTCTTTTGTCTCAGTTCACCCCTCAAATTTGGGGGTGTCTTACAGAGTACTGCCCCCTCCCTGGGCAGCGACATCACTCTGGTGGCCTTATCCCTCTCGCCTGTAGATATCTCAGCCCCTACCAGGAACCTGGGTTTTCTCATCTCCCTAGCCCTGTCTGCCATCATGCAATAAAACAACTAAATCCTGTCCTCTCTGCCTCATTCAATCTGTAATTATAAAATGCAAATCTCTCTCCTACTTTCCCTTCTCAGACTCCACTTAGTATGATTCCTTTCAGGGCCTTGTAGCGCCTCTCGGCAGTGCTCACCTTTTAACCTCCTCACCCCGGACCCTTGGCCCCATGCATTTGTAGTTCCTCAAACAAACCTTGCTTCTGGGCTTCCAAGCAAGTGCTTTCCATCCTCTTCGATTGGCTCTCTTCTTATCCTTCAGGATGTAGCTCAGGCCACACCTCCTCCAGGAAGCCTCTTTCCCCACCTTTAAAAATATCTGCCCTGAAGAGACATCGGTGGTGTAGGATTCTGTCTCCCCTACTGAATCATAAGCTCTTGGTGCTCCGAAGCATCAGCTGCGGCCCCACTTAGGATCTGCTATCCTAACATTTCCTAGCACAGTGTTCAGACAGGGCTTGTCCCCTGAACTAGGAAGAGGGAGGCAGAATTGCGGGCTTAGTTTGGCCTGGGAATAAAAACAGGCAGCGTTGCTTGTGACCTGTGCGCTAGGCAGTGTTCCAAGCATTCCAAGCACACTGGGATTATCCCATATAATCCTTACAAACCGCCCTAAAAATAGATGCCATTATTAGCCCCATTCTACAGATGAAGAAACCGAGGTTCAAAGAGTTGCCCAAGTCCCCCAGCTGGTAAGCGGCGGTGTCAGATTTCATCATCTCTCTGCTGTCTAATCTCTAGGGGCACGCCTGTGTCAGGGGGTGACCGTGTTGGGCACGTTTTTTTCCCCTAAAACAAGTTCTGGTTTGAAAGGACCAAGCTGATCCGACGGCCAAACAACAGAAGCGACACCTGACGTCTGTGCCCGGTTGTAGGCACCAAGGCCTCGCCAGTGTCGTGCCCCCCGTGGCCCCGTGCCGCAGCAGTGAGGCAGGCGGGCCTTAGGTAGGCCGTGGGAGCCAGCGCTCCAGTGGGCGAGGGAGGCTGGTGGGGCACCCGACGCCAGCACGCGCAGACCTCGTGGCGGGCCAGCGAGGCCCCACACTCAGCCTGCTTTCTGTCCAGTGTGCTTGTTGGCCGGGGCAACGGCTCGAAGCACAGCTCATGAATGAGTGAGTGCGGGGGCAGGTGGGCCGGGGATCTGACATAAAAGAGGATGTGACTCACGGTCCTGGGTTTTGGAGTCACATCGACCGGGGTTTGAGTACTTACTTGGGCAAGTCACTTAACCTCTCTGAACCTCAATTTCTGAAACAAAATGGACATTATACCTGCCTCATGGGGCCAAGAGGGGGATTAGTGAGAAAATACATCTGAAGAGCTGGCCGTATGGTAATTAGGCTGAACCACGTGGGACTGCTAATATCTGACCGTTGTGACCTACGAAGATGGCAATTTCATATCGCTTCATCTGCTTGATGCTCGATTCAAGGCAGCGGCGGTTAGGGGTCCCCAACCTTCTTTTGGCTGTGGAGCTGCCGGCAGGGGCTGACGGTGACCTCCGTGTGCTGTAGTGCAAGCTGGCTGGCTGCACAACTAAGGCCAACGGCAGTGGGGGATGGTCAATACTGGGGTGACCCCTTCCTGCTCAGAACGGCCAGCAAACCGCTGAGCCCGGGTGAGAGCAGGAGGTGAATGTCGGCAGGAGGCAGCCAGGAGGGCTGGGGTGCCCTGGCCTTGGGGAAGGGGCGTGGGCCCCCCAGCGGTGCCCGCTGAGCCACGAGCAGCCTGCACAGCCCCGGGTTTCCTGGTGCTTCAGCAGCAGGCCTGAGCTGCCAGCTCAGCAGTTTTCCCCAACCAGAAGTGCCCCCCTCTCTTTCTGAAAGTAATGATTTTCTAAAAATGGATTCCCTCCCCTCCCCCCGCTGCAATTAATCTACCGAACACAAAGTGGCCGCTGGAGGCGGCCCCTGGTGGGTTCGGACCAGTGCAAGCACTTTGATTAATTCAGGGACGATTTACTGGCTAGTGGGGGTGGGGAGGTGGGAGACCCGGGATGAAGGCTGGGTGAGAGCCGGGGGCGGGCCGGGGTGGGCTCACCGTTTGGTGCCCGTCGGAGCCACAGAGACTAGGAGAGCTGGGAGCCTCTTTCTAGAGGGTCTATGTGATGAAGATTTAAGAGCCACAGGATCTCAGCCCCAGCCCTGAGGTGGTCCCATGGACACGTGTGCCCTGGGCCAGGCTAAGCTGGTAAATAAACCCCGGGGCACCTTCCTGGTGCTGCCATTTTAGTAGGATCTTCGGGAGAAAAAAAGACTAGAATTGTTTTGATCCTAAGACAAGCCCCTGTCTGTGACGTAGTAGTTTGCAAACGTGACATGAATTGTTGGGAAAAAAGACAAAAACAAAAACAAAACCAAGATGCTTTGCTCCTGGTGCTGCTCTCAGTGTGGTCCCAGGCCAGCGTGGGCACTTTGGTGGAAAAGTATGAGATGGAGTCTGTCTGCGCCTTGGATATACAGGCCCTGGAGGTAGAAATGGGACGTATCTCTTGGGGCTGCACTGAACCTGAAAGAAAATACCGGTTAATTCGTAGATAATGATATCGTGTTAGTTCTCAGCAGTGCAGAGAGCCCTTGCACATGCATTCTGCTCCTGATGCGGGATGGCGGCTTCCGCAGAGCCCCATTGGAGAAGAAGACCTGAAACACTGCTCCGGGAAGCCAACTGCGTGTAAATGTCACTTTTTGTGTGTCACGGGGCTGAGATTGGGCACTTTGCCCGTCCAGATGAATCGGTGGCCTGCTCCACGCACACAGGTGCTCACCCAGTCTGTCGTGCCTTCTTCGTCTTTATGAAGACTGGTCTCGTACCTGCAGCGTGACTGGGGCTCCTTGAGGTCAGGCACCCGCTCTCGTACTGATTCGAATCTTTCAGAGCACGAACCCAGCTCTGGGCTTATAGTAGGTGCACAGTTAATGCTCGCTATAGTTGACATGAACCGAGCTCCGGCGTGCTTTCTGAGGATGGCTGGGGTGCCCTCTAAGGGCACGGTCTCATCAAAGTGCCCCCTGGCCTGCTCCTCACCTCCTACAAGCCGCTCGCACCTCCTACAAGCCCCTCCCGTCTCCACAGGAGCAAGCTACCCACAGCGTTCCAGCCTAGGTCGCTGCCAGCTTAGACCCAGCCGAGACCAGTGCCCTCCTGGGCTTCTTCACTCAGCCAAGGAGAGAGAGAGAGTTCCAGAGCAGAGCCCAGGCTCAACTGAACACAGTGATTTGAATCCTCAGGTAGCATTCCCAGGATATCTTCTTGTTTTATTTTATTATTATTATTTTTTTTAATGTGTATTCATTTTCGAGAGACAGAGACAGAGCATAAGCGGGGGAGGTGCAGAGAGAGAGGGAGACACAGAATCCGAAGCAGGTTCCAGGCTCTGAGCTGTCAGCACAGAGCCTGATGCGGGGCTCGAACCCACAGACTGTGAGATCATGGCCTGAGCTGGAGTCGGATGCTTAACTGACTGAGCCACCCAGGACCACCCCCCCCCACACCCCTTATCCTCTTATCC